CCCCCCCCCCCCCCCTTTCCATTTTTCATTGCCTATAGGTGGTGGAACCATTGGGCCGGACAATTGCTTACCTATTAAAAATTACCCGCTGACAGAAAGTGTAAATAAATCCCTACTTCGAGGACTGTTTATAAGCAAGCAGATAATGAGTTTCTAACCTCTGGAACAAGCCTGTATCAATTTATCATTGAAAAACGAAAAAAGGGATTAAAAAAACTGCAAATTGGTACTATGCTGGGAAAATCAACCCGATTTTATTGCCCTGAATGGAGCTATTTAAGACCGTATTAAGCCTGCTAGGTCAAAAGTTGAATGCCTAGTGCAAAAGAATCTTTGCAAAAACAAACTTCTGCTTTTTATAACATTGATAATTTGCTTGCTTCAAAAAACCTATAAAAAGCTCATGCTAGGGAAATCAGAAACATTGGAAGTTTTGACTTCTCACTTTGATATTTTATGTATTTTTCAACTTTTGGATGTAAGATACATCAGAAAAAAAAAAAATCTGATGGCTTTCCAACCGTCTAAATTCCAACTTGCCATTGAACAAGCTTTTTACATCATACTGCATGAAAAAACACGTATTTTAACAAAAAATACCTCCGGATGATGCTGTGGAATGTGTGTGCTGAGGAGCAAATCATACGGGACAACCTCACCGCATAAGCCACAGCAAATATTCTTTGAATCCAGGAAATTAAATTCAATATCCCGAAGATCCTGGCGGCCACTTGCTTCCACATTTCCCGATTCATCCACATACAACGTACTGCCCTCTACAAATATGCAGTGGAAAAAGAAAGAATATATGTGAAATGAAAAAAAAAAGAAAAAATAATAGGCAACTTAATGGATCAAAACATTCCTCACCAGAAATATAACTTTTTTTTTTCCTTCCCTTTTTATCCCTAAATGAATAATTGGAAACAACAACTCAACGCTTACATGCTTCTATGATTCTAGCATTATGCTAACAAAGCAATCGTCAATTTTCTGTGACGAAAACTGCGTCACTACTGGTACTTGGTCATCGTAGTGATGCAGGAATTCGTTTCTCTATTCCTTTTTTTCAGAAAAAAATGAAAGCTTTTCTTTGCTCCTTCTATACGAATGTATGCGTGTATGTATGTATATATGTGTGCATGTGAATGCGTGTATGTGTGTATGTATACGTGCGTGTGTGTATGTATGTGTGTTCTATTAGCAATCTTCCACTCCTTTATTACGGGAATCACTAGTAGTGAAAAGTTTATAGGATTCCTGTAAAACTTTCCAAGAATCTTCCAGATAATGAAAATAAAAAAATATCTACAAAAGTTCAGATGCACTACTAGATGAAACATACGTACCATCAAGAGTTTGTCCGGGTGGAAGCTGAATTAATTGCTCGGTTCCATTGGGTGTTCGAACTCGAATAACTTCACCCATCTCTCCAGAATAACTCTAAAATTAAAATTCACAGTAATCTTTTTCGAAAGAAAACTATTAAAAAAAAAAAAAAAAAAAACCCCTAATGCATAAATGAATTATGTCGACGACGTGGGTCCCCACTCAGCTATGGTCATAAATGGCGATATAAGCCTAACACCCTGACTATATTCCAGCCCTTCAGCCACACATTAGT